GTGTGAGACAGAAGATTGAGGGTGTGTGTGTGTGTGTGTGTGTGCAGTAAGTACAGTAATACACTAATATGTAGTGTTACTCAGCTGATCCATGATAATTAAAGAAAAAAGCTCAATCAGTCAGTATGGTCAGTGTGATGGACAGAGGTGTGTGTTCTGTTTAATAGTGTGGTAAAGAAAGCAATAATCAATAAACCGCTTTACAATGTTCATGTGTAATTTATTTACAAATCGGCCTACAATCATGGCCGCCGACTACAACTCCCAGAGTACTACGCGGCCTAAAAACATGGCCGCAGAGGACTACAACAACCGTCCATCACAAACTCTCTCATGTTCATGTTCACCGTCACTCTGACTGCACACACCTGGACTCAATTACACACACACACAGTTTATAACACCTCTCTTTCTACCAGTTCTTTGTGAAATATACTCTCAGTGTTGCGTACATGTCTACACCGAGCCTTCTGAGTCTATGCGATTGTGTGTATGGTTACGTTTCTGGTTTATGGTTTATGGTTTATGTCTTTGTCTCTTGCCCAAGTAACTCTGTTTGTACATCACCTGACTTCAGCCTGTTTAGTGACTTTGCTTCTGCTTCTCAATTTGGATTTGTTTGCTGTTGTTTTAATAAAGCAACATAACCTGCAACTGTCCCCTTCTCCACTGCCTGACTATAGATAGATAGATAGATAGATAGATATAGATGTAGATATGAAATATAAGAGACAGAGACACTTTTGACTCTTTCTTAGAAAACAGTTCTGGATAAATTGAAGACAGCTTCCCTACATGTTTTCATTTCTCCATAAAAGAAAAAAGAAAATTAGATTGGGTTATTATTTTCTTATTCACTAGTGAACAATGATTTCACCATCATCTATTATATCAAATAAACCCTTATTTGCACACCATTTCTTTTTCACAATTTTCACATTGCCACTCATTATATGAAATTCATATTCTAGTCTGATTCGAGACTCTACTAGTGCTTTAAACAAGCTCACAGTGGTGATGTCTCTTCCATCTGTTTTCAGTCTGTGAGACTTCCTAATGGCCTCTTTTGCTTGTCCAACTAGAAAAGTAATCAATGTGCATTGTTCCTGACGAATAGCCTAAAATAAAAAGGCTAGCCAAGGCTACAGATAATACCATGCAGTGTGTTAAGAAGAGGATCCAGTCTGGGCCAGTCGCTGAAGCAGTGGAACACCGTGTCCGGTGGCTCACAGACCCTGCAGACGGGAGAGTCAATGAGGTTGCACTTGGACAGGAAAGAGTTGATCGGCATTGTAGGGTGAAGAATTTGCCACTGCAAGTCAGGGACTGAGATGGAGGTATGAGTAGATGCGTTCTCTACTTTGTGTCAGCTCGCCCTTTCAGTTCTCTTGAAAGTCCATATTTTTATGCAGGAGTTGTATAGTTTGTCCTCTGTTGCCATTGAGAAAGGGATGTGTTTAAGTTTTTTGTGTGAGAGGAGTTGCTGTGCTGTCGTCACCTGGAGCTTCAGTAGGAGTCGTGTATAGTTCTGGAAAGAACATTTATGCTGGATCTCTGGTTATATAGCTGTTTATGTAGATCAGTAAGGATTTGTGGAACAAATCTTCCAGACTCTTTACTACATTTCCCACAATCCATTCTGATCTACCACTGACCTCTTTGGTTAGTTGATGTACTGTATTTGTATCCACTCTCTTTTGTCCTGGTCAATAAGATCTCCTACCTTGGCCAATTCTGCTGAAATAAAAGCAGTGATCTCACTTCCAGACACACTTTTCTCAGGGAACCAGGTGTTTTAAAAGCGTGGTTTTCCAGTCCATAATGGTTTTTTTTCCAGTGCATTCTAAGCTGACCCCAGGCTTTAAAAACAGGTCCATAAAAATGTTTAGTAGGCAGAGTGTTTGTGGAATTGTTGGACATTAAAAACATCTGCCTGTCGAGTCCCATTCTGCCTGCAATCCTCAGTACTGCAAGCCTGAAACTGACGCATGGCACAGTGTTAGGACAATACCGCAGTTTCTGAGCTGTTTGTAACCTAACGGCCTTCATCTCAGACAGAAGATGGATCAGGCTCTGCCCACCCTCACACATTCGTAAACTCAGTGCACGGAGATGAAGCCAGTGGTGACTGCTCCAGAAAAAGTCCTCAAAGCTCTTCTGAAGTTGATGTAGATGTTCTGGAGGTGGATCCAGTACCATCAGACAATGACACAGCATTGAGGTGGCTGAGTTGTTTACCACCAGGACTCTGCCCATGAAGGACAAGTTTTCTATGTCTGATCTGCTTGGACTATGTTAGATAAAAAAATGTTTGAGAATGTTTGTTAGTGTCTTTGATAAAATTTTGTAGTCTGTGATGAGGAGAGAGACAGGACGCCAGTTCTTTATAGCCAAGGTCACCTTGTTTAGGCAGTAAGGTGATTAGAGGTAGAGGTAGAGGTAAACCCATTGATTCCCTGCTGTTGAGCAGGACACAGTGCAGATCTGGGCCAGAAGGATTTGTAAAATTCAGAGGTCAGTCCATCCAGCGCTGGTGATTTGCAGTTGGATAGCTGCTGTGTGGATGCACTGAGTTCATGCAAAGAAAATGGTTTTTTTTTTCTAGCTCATTTCTCTCACACTCGCTCAGCTGCGGTCGTCCCGTCAGAAGGCACTCAGTGGCTTCAGGATCACATGGCTGGCTGTTGTAAAGTTCTTTGCAGAAAAAAAGACAGTGCTTGTGAAATGATGATGTTTTTATTGATTGTTTCTTGGCCATTGGGTAATTTTAGGTGAGTGAGAGAAAAAGGCAGTGAATGAGTCCATTTTATTGTACTGTGTGAACCTGGCTCGCACCATTGCACCTTGGTCTCTTTCATCATATAGGTTTTTCAGAAGAATTTTGTTCCTCTCCAGTATTTCAGCAGTTTCTTATCCTTACTTATGGACCTGCTCAGCTTCAGGATTTCTTCTTCAAGGAAACCAATCTTTTTCTTCATTTCACTGGTAGTGTTTTTGTACTGTTGGCAGAAAAGCTGGATTTGAATTTTTCCTATGTCCCACCACTGGCTTAGCAGTTCTGAGTGCTTCTGCTGAGTGAGGATGAGGCTCACTGTGGTTCCTCTCTACACTGTAATTCAGAATGCAGTTAAAATCTCCAGCTAAAATGATTATTCTCTCATGGGGAATGTCTGAGAAGAATTTATTCAGATTTTCAAAAAACTGAATATGGTCTGTGCCAATGTTAGGAGCATAAATATTAATCAGAGAAAGGGAGAAGTTGTGGAGATTGATATCTACTCTCTGAATCTGTATAATTTCTGCTATGTTTACCGGCTGTTCTCAAATATCTGCAGAAAGCAGTATGGTGAACCCAGCGCTCATATTTGAACCATGGCAGAAGAAAGCCTGATCTTTCCACTCACCTAGCCACTGTGTGTGGTTATTAGTGTCTGTGTGCAAAAATAATAATGTTAGCATTTTTTTAGAGACAAAAAACTGAAAAGTCTAAACCACTTCTCAGCACTACAACATTCGTTTATATAAAATTGAGCCAATGTTTAAGGATGCCATGCTGCTGAGCAGAAAAATAGCACTAAAGGACGCATAATGTTTCTTTTCTTTTTAATGGTGTTTCTTCTTTTTGGATCATGTTTTTTAACTTTTGGCATTAGTTTTTTTCAGGTGATAGTCAAGCTCTTTAAGCATAGCATTGCTACATAACAGGACAGATAAAAACATGGCAGATTGGGGGAAAAAGGCATCAATTTGGGGTCAGATCTAAGAACATGTTTATCTGTGACTAAACTTAGCTATCACCTCAGAAGGATCAGTGTCATCTTCTTAACCACACTTTATATCTTCAAACTCATTTTTTGACTCATTATCGCACTGTGAGCTTTCTAAAGCCATCTCAGAACAGGTTCCCTGCATTTCCTCCTCTGTCTCAGCTTAAGACAGAACATCAGGATCAGCCTCTGGATGAACGTGCTGTGACTGCTCCTCACTCCGGGCCGGGTCTGTCTGAGACCGGGGCAGAGCCGGAGGGGGAGTTGGAGGAGTCAGAGCCTGACATTTCAGGTTTTTTCTCCTTTTAAAGGTGGTGTGGTGTTGGTTCCCAGCGCTGCGCAAGCTGCAGACTCACTCTGGCTGCTCTCCCACCTGCTCAGACTGCCTGTTCACCAGACACAAAACACCTCATCTGTTGTGAGCTAATAAAAATCATATAATCTTTACCCTCGACCTTTAGTTTTACAGAGAGACTGAGAGGCTCATATTGTGTGTTTAAGATCATGCAGGGGAAACAGCAGAAAGACACAACATTTTCTTAGAAACACCAGAAAGTGGAAGAAGAGGAACAAACGTGTTGTTTGTCATTAGCCCGTGTCCAATAAACTCATCAACCATTTTAACCTCAGTGAGAAAAACCACCAGTGCTCTGTTCATCCGAGAGGCTGATCTGATGTTTAACCCACCAACCTGATCACTGAGTGCAGTTAGGACTTCCTCGATCAGTATGGAGTCATCCGGCGGCACTTACACCAGTGTCCCAGGGTCAGGTGGGAGAAATCTGCCGAGGTTTGCCGACTCACACACTGCTACACTTTTCTAACTTTCACTATAAATCAATAAACTTAAAGAGGAGAAAGAAACGAAAGTAAATAATCAGGAGAATTAACTAGGAAACACTTGGAGACATGCTCCAAACCCCTGCTCTCTCGCCCACTACCCACCATCCTCAGAGAAAGAGAGAGAGAGAGAGAGAGAGAGAGAGAGAGAGAGATGTTAAAGGTGGACAGGTCTGAAATCATCACTGCACTGACTAAAGTCACCCTGGATGGGGTGCCAACCTATCGCAGGGCACAATCACACACACACTCTCACACACCCATTCACTCACTATGAACAATTTTTAGATTCCAATCAGCCTACAAAACATGTCTTTAAACTGGGGAAGGAAACCGGAATACCCGGAGGAAACCCCTGAAGCACGGGGAGAACATGCAAACTCCATGCACACGGGGCAGAGGCGGGAATCGAATCCCCAACCTGGAGTTGCGAGGCAAACGTGCTAACCACAAAGCCACCGTGCCCCCGGACATCACCTCTTAACCACGCCTCTTCATAATGTATTCATTCATTCAAACTCCGCCCCTCTTCACAGTTACGACAATATATATGTAATTCTGCTTCATCTATAAACTATATTTGTGTTCTAATCTCTATTAAAACAATTTAAATAAAATTTGCTTAAAGCATGTTTTCAGTTCCGACATGACAAAAAGTTTTGACGCCCTGAGGCTTAACGGGGTTTTGTTGATTTTTGTCACTGAGTTGTCTGTAGGGAACGAGTGTGCACTCTTTACACTAATTCCATTTTAATTGCTTTAGCAGGAGCACAGTTACAGACTCCACATGGCACGCAGCTGCCGGTACGGCCGGAGGGCAGCCTTTCTGAAGCTCTGTGGCGAGAGAGCGAGCGCCAGCTCCATCATGAATCTGCCTCCTGCTCTTTTTATAACACAGCTCAGGGCCATTTGTCAAACCGCTGGAGAGCGCTGGCGTTTATTTTCCCCACAAATCACATCGCTCTCTGTCTTAGATCGGGCTCGGAGGGGGGGAAGTCACCGCTTAGAAAGTTATTCTCGCTAAACTGTGACAGGATTTAGAGAGAATGGGTTTAAACGGGTTTAAAAAAGACATGTCTAGTATAAATGTTAGCACAGTATGGCAGAAGAAACGGATGTTAGCTTATTAGTGTCTTTCTGCTTTGTTATGAATTTTAGTTTTATTATTTCCCACTTTTTTAAGCGATTTTTTTTTTCAGCAAAGCGTTATGGAAATTAGCTCCTTATCCCTGTGTCAGAAAACCAAGAAGATCTCTTTTAAAGGACACAAAGAAAAATATATACTGTACATCACACAAATGTTTAGAAGAATAATTCTTTTGTGGTTTTTGAAATAAATTATTGCACTTCTCACTTTTATACGGTTTTATTTATGGCTTAGTTTTATTCAGTTTAAACGCCTCCCTCTCTGGCCTCACCCTACATTTCCATATTAAAGAAAAAAAACAAAAACATAAAACAACAATGAGCGACACAAAGGAAAAAAAATTATCATATAAGTGTGAGTTTTGGGGATAAAGAAATTCTAAATATTATCAATTTATTCTACCAAACATTCAGGTAGACAAAACCTCAAGTTATCATTATTACTTCAATTATAATTATTATTATTATTATTATTATTATTATTATTATTAACCCCTGTGTGTGGTTCTGTTACCACCCTGGTGTTGATTATTTTCCTGTAACACAGGGGTCGTGACCCTGTTTGGGTTTCTCTTCATTTATTATAAAATTAAGAATCTCGCTCTGAGATGGATTTTCTGTTGTATTATTTGGAATATTACTGAGAGTCGCGTTCAAACGAGCCGCAGTTCATTAAGAGCGTACGTGCCAGTTTATTTTACACTGCAAAATATATATTAGCAAGTACAAATCTCTTGAAGAACTAATTTAATTAATATTTCTGTCTGTTTCAAAAGATTTTTTTGTTTCAAGTCTATTTCTTGAAATTGTCTTATTCTTTTAGCAGATGCTTTTGATAGAGTGAGACAATTTTGAGCTTGAAATGAGTAATTATGTCTTTAAATAGATTTAATGAGTTTATATTTGTTATATAATAATCTCATAATGAGACATATTATGAAATATTACTATATTTAAGATATCTTGACTTGAAACATTTTGTCCGTCCATTAACCGCCGCTAGTTCCTCCACAACATCGAGTGACTCTGAGTTAGGAACAGGAACAGGAACAGGAAGTCAAGAAAACGAACACGAAAATACTCTGGAGCATTGCATGATGGTGAAGAAAGAGAGAAACCAAAATACAGAGGCTTGAGGTCACAGGGATGCTAAAATGTTGCTAAAAACATGATGCTACAAAATGTTAGCATGACATTACACGTTAAATTCTAACATTATTTAATGTTAATGTTTTAAACGAAAAGAAAGTGAAGAATTCATGGAACAGACGGAACAGAGACGCCACGAGTGTGAAAAACCTACAGGTGAAGAGTTTGTCGTGGGAACTGAGTAACACCTGGTGCTGTGTGTGTGTGTGTGTGTGTGTGTGTGTGTGCAGGAACATATGCAGAGTGTCACTGAGCCACACTGATTATAAAACCATGAATCACAGTTGATCGTAATGGACTCAGTAAAACAGATGGCAGTTCTTCATTAATTGTCGCGTGGGCTGAAACTGAAAGTGACAAATTTCCAAAAGTCATAAAATCCGAACGCTCCGTGTCTCTGACACTCGCTGTGGAACATCAGTGTTTGTGGAAAATCAGGTTTTATACACACACACACACACACACACACATATATATATATACATAGTGATTAGGAAGGATAACTACAGAGGATGACAATGAGAATGTGAAATTACTTGAGAGGCGGAGCTACTGTTGCTCCACCCACAAATTCATTTAGGCAGAGAGTAGATACACTTATAAACTCTCTGCATTTATAAAGTTTATTTTTAAATGAATTTTGCTCAATTCCGACTTTATTCACTGTTTAGGCTTCTCTTCCTGAGCGATAGCACTCGTGAGCTGGTATATAATAATTGTGAAGCTCCGGTTATTTGCATGACTGAACATGACTGAGCCTAATGAAAGTAGTTACCTTTTAATTTTTTAATTTTAAAACATTTATGATGAGGAAATGGATATAAATCTGGATATAATTGGATCTAACGTCACCACTTTTGACTCAGATCTTTCGCAGACTCAATAGACAAGAGACTCAACAGACGTGTTTTGAATTTGAAGCAGAGAATAAATGCAAACTTCAATCTTCTATCATTCTGTTTTCATCATCCAATTATTTTAAGCTACAAGCCACACTTCCTAATCAGACCAGAGCGGGTAGATAAAATGAAAAAATCTTGCTTAGGTCACTTAGGTTTCCTCAGACCACCAGGGGGCGCCGTGACTTTTAATCTAGATATGCAAAAACTCACGAAAAAACTCAGGAAGCTGAAATTTTAAAGTGCAGTTTGTCCTTCATTTTTTATTTTTTTTATTGTATCTACTCCAAGATTTTCTTCTCAAGGATTCGGTTCGTTCCGCTGATGACCCCTGAGCAAAGCTAAAAACACCTTATACTGATTTTTTCTTACTCAGTGTCTGTTTAGAGATACTAAATATAACGCTTCATTTTATGTTATGTTCAAATTTTAATTTAAGAATACAACACCACCAAGCTAGCTAAAGACAAACAGCTCTAACTCTGGGGTTATACCGTACATGCTATTAACTACGCACACGCAAGATGATTTATTTCCTGCAGCTGAACAGGAGCTGTATCTCAAATCACACCCTTATGTACGAGTTTTTACTACTAACCTTAACCAATTTCACTATAATGGCTAAAGTGTTTGAATGTTTATTTAAAAAAAGTCTGAATACAATTCTGCATCGAAGAATAGTTGGCTGGAAATCTTTACACGTTTTATACGTCGCCATGGAAACCTGATGGCCAGGGATGTTGGAGCTCTGATCTGCCCTCTAGTGGAGCTGTTTGTAATCTAAATGCAGAAAAGTTACACAAGCGAGTGTGTAAACAAAACTTATTTATTTCCCATCTCTCTTATAATGTAAATAAATAACTTAACGCATGTCTGAGATTTTCTAATTGTCTTTCTGTTGTGTTGTTTGTGTTGTACACTTTAATTTCAGGTTTCAGTAATAAACTACTTACAAACAATGAATATGTCATTTTATAAATCAAAGGTGGCTAGTAAATACACTAATTAATCAATTTCAAATTATATATTTAAAAAGCAGACAGAGATTCACAACTCCAGTCTCGCTCCCAGCACATCTGATCTGATCAAGCTAATATATTAATAACATATTAAAAATAAAATTGATATTAAATAAGGAAAGCCTTTATTATTAACTCCTAAGTATTTTTTTAATAAAGTGTTTAAACTGATACCTGAATATTAATACATGATGTAAATGTTTTTAAAATGTATTTTGTAATATATACAATCATTATTCCTGACTTGCTCATTAATTAATCATTAATAAATCCTTAGTAAACTATCTATTACTTGCTTATAAAGAGTGTATCACCGAATCATAATCATATAAGCTGATGTTTGCATTTTTTTAACAGAAAGACTGGAGCATTAACTCAGATGTTGTCTTTTATATCCTCTGGCGTTTCAGGCACTAGAGGAGAAAAACATTAAAAAAACATAAACGTGATAGAGAAGAACCAACATCTGGACTTCTGAACCACGTAAACACATAACACAAATAAAAACACAGAGCATAACATGCTAAACAAAACACACACACACACACACACACACAGGACCAGTCAGGATATACAGCATATACAGCTAAGTGCAAAAGTTTGCATCCCCTTACCAGCACAGGCATTTAATGTGCTTGGTTTTACACACGCTATAACAACATGTGGATTTGCGTCTAAAGACTTCATCGTGTCCCACTGATTCACAGCAATGAACAGCTCGAGACTGCGAGTCGTTACACGCCTTAACGAGGCTCATTCAGATAAATTAGCTCGAGCGTGTCAGTGAGGGGGTGTAAACTTTTAAGTGGGATATAAAACAGAACTGCAGACTGAGACTCGGATGCTGTAACGTTGCAACTGTATGATCTAACGAGATATAAATCAGGAAACGCAGTTAAACGAAGACGACAGCGGTGTGGGTTTGTAGATTAACTGTGAAGTAGAAGTTCATGCTTTCATTTCTTTCAATCTGCAGCAAAGGGGGGTGTAAACTTTTGCACTCGACAGTGTGTATCATCTGACCATATAAGACAAAATAATAATATTTATAGGTTGAAATGGCAGTTTTATTCATCTAATTCCCTTGATTTTCATATTATTATTATTATTATTATTATTATTATTAAGCAGCTTAATCAGCTGTCTTAATTATGAATGTTTCATTATTAATTAAATAAAAAACATATAAATTAAATATTTAATAATAATAATACTACTAATAATAATAATAATAACTAATTAAATAATAAAT